ATTAATCCGTATCTAATTAGCCTGACGTCATAAATCTCGCTGCGAGGCTGTTCTATTACAGACGGAATTGGTCTAATATTTAGAAATGTCAAAAGCTGATGACATTTTACTTTTGACAATTATGCCATTTCGTGTTGATTTTTGCAAGAAGAGGAAGAACTGTCACTTGTTTTATTATTTTCCTTTTCTATTTCACGTAAGTAAAATGAGTTACCTATCTGATTCGTTCAGGCACTCAATTTAAAGAATACTTAAAGAATATCAGTAACTTTTTTGATAGAGGGATTTTATATTTGCCATGTTGGTAGAAAATAACGGTCAAAATTCAAAGTTATTCATTTTATAGACTATATAAGTAGAATTTGATATGCTCATTTGTTTTGAAGGATTATGGTAACCAATAATTCTTAGACAAGCTTAGTATGGTTTATTTTTATTTTTAGAACTGTTATGATAGTCTAAAACCGAAAAATATTTTTAATACTAAAAATTATTTGCTGATAAAATTGTGTTAAATATTTCGTCGATTTGCATGGAGCCGTGGAAGTTTTTTTTTTGGTACAAACAGCAAATGGTTTTTTGTAGGATCGACGGGTAAAAACCGTTTTTTTTACTGTAAGGAATCTTGATGGGAGGTAGGACGATGGTAACCGAACGTGGTTCGTGGTTCCCGACGGGAAAGATTATTTAAGCGACGGGAGCGCGAAAACGGGGGCCTTCCTGTTGAGACTAAGTACCGGTGATCTTTTCTAAGTAAACCTCGCGAGTCTGATCCGTTTTTTTATCAGCGCTGCTGTAAAAACCGAATTCTTGAGTTTTAAAGTAAAAGTACCGTATCTCCGTTTTTGATTTTAAAGAAGTATAAATTGTGGTCGCAGAGATTTGATTTAAAATAAGTCTAAAACGTATTTCTGATTTATGAGTATAGATAGTTTTAAAACCGAGCATTTAAGTTTTTTATACCTGACCGTGAATAGCCAACCAGACCGTTTCGTTCTGATCCTACGCCGATTTTCTTAAGTTTTCTTTATACCTGACCGTGAATAATTAGTGTGACCGGATTCCGGGCTGCTGAAGGCGATTCAGAAAACCAGACCGTTTCTTTTGATCCGACGCCGATTTCCTTCAGAAAAAAAGGTAATCGCTTTCTTTTTTTTGTAACCGCCAGATACCCCATCAGAGTTCTAGTAAACGCAAATTTTAGTTTCAGCACAGTAGAGTTTTTATTTTATTTTTATGATATAAAATTCGTTTACAGAGGAGGAGTTAATTAAGGTTCCTCTTTTGTTTTACCATGATAATATTTCTTACGTATTTGATTTATTTAAAGATGCATGTGAATATGTATTGCTAGTCTTTCCTATAATAATATTTCTTTACAGGTTTGAATTTAAATAATATGAACTTAATTATGTGCTATTGTAATTAACTGATTTAATTTCTCTGTGTTAGATTTTGCGATACTTCATGTTTTAATATTTTCTTCATATTTGATTTATTTGAAGATATTGGATTTATATTTGATTTTATTAAAGATGCATGGGAATATGTATTGCTGGTATTTTCTATGATAATATTTCTTTACAGATTTGAATTTAAATCACATGAACTTAATTATTTGCTATTGTAATTAACTGATTTAATTTCTCTGTGTTAGACTTTGCGATATTTCATGTTTTAATATTTTCTTTATATTTTATTTATTTGAAGACATTGGATTCATAATTAATTTATTTAAATAAACCTCGTTATGGAATATATTCGACTTTAACTGGCTTTTACCCCATTTCCCTGGATTCTCCACTGTAGAAAAGCTACCCGTATTGGCCGAGGTGGTCTCTCAAACACTTTAAACTTTGGGGGTGGCGCCCGAGAACAAAAAGACCGACTGTTAGGCGTTAGTAATAGCTCTCTAGGAAAAAAGGCTGTTACAAACATAAACTTATGAAAGTTATGGCGGTTCAAATGTAACCAAGTAGTTATTAAATAATTAATTGGAAAATCAAAATTTCATGATTTTTAAAATATCTTATTGCTTTAAAAAACGATAATAATCCACTAGATTTCTACTTCTGGGGCCACTTTGAAAGCTTTAGTTTACTCAGTGCCGATTAATACTGAAGAGCAACTACGGCAACGCATTATTGACTGTTCCAATCAAATTCGGACAAACACCAAGGATATTCCACAGGGTACGCAGATCTTGGAGAAGAAGAGCAGATGTCTGCATTGAAATGAATGGTGGTCACTTTAAACATTTACTATGAATGAATTAAGGAATGCATTATTTTAATAAGGAATTTTGGTAATTGGTTTAGCAATAAAAATGAAAAGCAATAAGATGTTTTAAAAATCATAAAATTTTGATTTTCCAATTAATTATTTAATAACTACTTGGTTACTTTTGAACCGCCATAACTTTCATAAGTTTATGTTGAGTTAGCAACCCATCAGAGCAAACTCTTTGCCTTCAATTTTCATAAATTGCGGATTACAACAGGCCTCTTGACAGGACATATGGCTGTCAAGTGTTACCTGAACAAGCTCAATCTGTATCAAGGAAGTCTTTGCTGCAGACTCTGCGATAAAGATCCTGAAACAGCGGAGCACATAATATGTCACTGCGAGGCTCTGGATCGCAAGCGACACTTTTTATTTGGGAAAGCTAGGCTAGAACCGGAGGAACTATGCTCCCATCCTATCAAGGACCTGCATAAGTTAGTGCAGGGCACAGGGATAGGAGAATGGGTGCAGATATAGAAAGGGGACAAACACAATAGGCCTCACAGGTCGCAGTGTTTCCGGCAGAGGACGGCCCCTTATTGTGAAAAAAAAAGCCTACAATTTCAAAACAACCTATACTTATAGGAACTTTTTTTACTATTTTTAGGAGTACTATCACCCCCCGATTATTTTTTACACCATTTCAATGACACCCTGTATAATTTATATGCTTTTATAACAAATTGATCGCTATTTTATGTCAAATGCTGAAGCTCTGCAAACCTTAATCAAGCCCTTAATCAAAGCACATGTATTTGAAATTTTGGGTGTGGCTTAACACGACAGGATCGGGCTAAGCCTTAGCCTTAGGCAGATTTCTGAAATATAATATATATTTCTTTAGGCCACACATCCGCTTTACCCGACCCTTGAGAGCGACCCGAACAGTACTGTAACGTTTTTAGTTCGTTACATGTCTTTTTTATATATAATATATGATGTCTGGCCTATCATCACCGGATTCCCTCTCGTTCAGGCCGGATAGTTTATTTGACGCGCTTGGCGTAATTTTTACATTCTCTAGTCCACAACCCTGTTATCGTTTAACACAACCCTGTTATCGCTCTGTGGAGGCGCTGCCAACATCGCTTCTGTCAACTCTCTGTGCTGTGGACTCACTTTTGCTTTTAGCGCTCTGTAGCCTAACCTAACCATCCCGGCTTTTAGAAATGGTGATTATTTAAATCTTGCTGTATAATCTGAATCAGCTGCTATTTCAAAGCAACAGGATAGAGTTTTGGATGTCCCAACTTAACTTGTATTTGTATTTTGCTGGCACGTTGGCGTCCCTTTTCTTTTGTCCTCCAGAATGTTACATGGAAGAAAGGACAGTTTTTTTGGTTATTATTGAGCCCTCGGAAGTGTTTCGAGGGTCTTATGGACGTACATTATCTTATGGACGTACATTGTCTTATGGACGGACTATTTACAAGGTACGGGCATTATCCAAGGTCCTAGTAGATCCAAGGTACGGGTAGTGTTCCCCTGTACCATTATCTTATGGACGGACTGTGTTCAAGGTATGGGCAGGTGTCCCATATCTATGTATTGATTCCAAGGTTCGGGCATTATCCAAGGTCCTAGAAGTGTTCCAAGGTACGGGTAGTGTCCCCATATTGCCACAGTTTGGATGTAGCGTATGCCCCATGCTGCTTCGTTCCCATCCATAAGCTAGTTAGTAGTTACGGCTGTTCCAATTCATGGTGTCCTCGTTATCGCCCCTTTTGTTGTATTAGATGGCCGAGTACAGAGATGCGAGACCACCTCACGCTGTTACTGTTTGAAGCAAGATTACATAAAGAACAGCTAAGTGTAGATTTAAGTTCTAGTTTTACATTTAACATCTAAAACATTTTCAGTCTTAAACAATAACGTACATCTTAAGTAATATCGTACAGACTATGTTTAGTGGTTAGATTGTTAAGAACATTCATGTCGATTTAATATTTAAAATATGATTTAGATCTTAGGTTTCATTACATTACGTCTTATAATGGTATTACTTTCATAGATATTTAGTACAACTCTTAACACCATTTTTTTTTGACATATAACTACTATATATGTTTCGTACTTTACTAATGGATAAGCCTCAGTAAGACGATATTTATTAATTAAACATAGAGAGATAATTACATGACTTTATATGTCAAATACAACTAAACAACTCACTGTTATGACTACGCTTAGCCAACTATTTAATTATAATAATATCTATTACTAAGGTAATCTATATTATACAACAATATATTTATTAGAATTCTACAATGTCATGTACCAGCAAAGAACATCATGAAATATAGTCATTAGTTTTAAGTAATATACAACTGTGTTTTCTTTCTCTGTACATGCCTGGCGCCCAATATCTGTATTTTTTTGTTTATTGTTATTGATTGGTTTTCTCTCTAGTGAAATACCTTATCCACGACTGCTCTCCGATGAAAAGCTGCCGTTCGCAGTGGTAATGTTTTATAAAAAACGCTACAGTACAGCGCAATAGAACTCTTAAGATTCATTTTATAAATCCATCACAATCTTGCAGCGCTGTTGCCATCGCTTGTCACGTCACTCAAAGTTAATCACGTGCATCAAAAATTGTTTTGCGATTACTTTTAACTGAACGCAACCTAAACGGCTCTTAATGTAGTTTATATTAAATTGTACAAGTCTGTTGAATACGCATTTTCCCCTTTACTCGCTCCAAAGAATTTACTTACTTGTTGTAAAGGATGAGATCGGGTCTCCAGACACGCTGATAAGGAATTCTAATTACTTTTATGCCGGCGAATTCGGAAGCGTTCCACTTGAGATGGTGGTCGATCCAGACTTGAGTTATCCAGCAGTTGGTCGTCAGGATTTGGTTCTTTTCGTCCTGGAAATGGGGAAACAATTCAAGAAGTATTTTAAATACTGCTAGACAAAGTTGTAATTGCCATTGACTATTTATACAGGGTGGTTCAAAATGTACTTGGGAGCGGCATATTCTGAGATAAAAATACGTAAACAAGTTTGTATAAATTTATGTCCTAAAATGCTTAGTTTCGGAGTTACAGGGTGTAGGGGTTTTATATTTATTTCGAATTTTTTCAAATAATTTCTTAAGTAACGTTGATATTTGAATGAAAATTGGTGCCTGGGAGTTTTTTGACATAAGAAATTTGATTTTGATGTCAATATGACTCCTACTTGTAGGTGGCGCCACCTACATGTGTTTTAACTGGTTTGAAGAGTACCTAATAACTTTTCGTCCGTACCTTCGTTTCTTGGTAAAAATTGCTACGACTAATGGTTCTCGAGATATTTGTAATAAAAATAACTAATACATGTCATCATTGACAAAAATTGAACATGTTAACTAGATATACAGGGTAAGTCAATAAAAAATACATCTCGATAAAAGAAACATATTTTCTCTTTACCGTTTTTCAAATAAGTCCAAAATAACCGAGATTTGCAAATTTCAAAAAAATTGATTTTTCACTTATATGTTGAGAACCGCTGGATCTTTTTTGAGTTTTCTTTCTTGTAAATTTAATCTTCTATCTATGTTGCCATATTATAAAGATATTATGTTTTTTAACTAAAAAATAAAAAAAAAACGCGAAAAAAAAACTCACAGACGTATTTCTGGGATCGAAATATATCACCCTTAAAAATATTTACACTTATTTAAGACTCACCCTGTATAGTTATTCGACTGAAATAATAAATCTGCAAATTTTTTTATCCTAAAGGTTTGGTAACAGTTATACAACTGATATATTATAATTTTTTTAGGAAAATTTATGATTAATTTAAAAAAAAATAAAAAGCTCTCAAATTTATTTCATTTCAGTCAAATAACTCTAGTCAACACGTTGATTTTTGTCAATAGTGACATAAATACATGTCATATTCATAAATTTCAGTGAGAGTAGTTAGTTGTAGCGATTTTGCACTCAGTAGTTTCATACAGGTACAGACGAAAATTTATTATTCCGCAAAAAAAACAGTTAAAAAATATGTAGGTGGCGCGATATCAAATTTCTCATGTCAAAAAACACCAATTTTCATCCAAATATCGAAAAAAATCGAAATAAAAATGACAATTTTACACTGTTTCTCCGAAACGAAACATTTTATGAGAAAAATTTTTGACTTACTTTTATCAGTAGAATATAATGCCGAAGTTTCCCGAATACAGTTTGGACAACCTTGTACTATATTAACGTTAAATATCCTTACAAAAGGTCAACCTCAACTACCTTTTATATACTTAATATTTTCTTTATAATCCTAAATACACCAACCGCAAAAAGTTAACAGAATAAAGGGGCTGCCGAGTGAAAAGAGAAAATATGAAAAGCAAACATTTTTTACCTTTCTACCACTTAAATATGGTATTTCTCTCACATATCTGTTCATGTCTGGGGAATAAACAGTTAAAAAAAGAAATTTGAAAAGAGAAAGTCCGTTGACAATGTGATGTGAAAGGAAAAAAAATAATTTCTAAATTTGTTAATATTAAAAAACTTCTAAATTCACACATTACTGAAATTATTGAAAAGGTGAAGTTATATTTTTATTTTGATTTGATATTTTTTTCTTGATTTTTTCACCAATGGAAGAATCTCTACAAAACTACAATCGACACGAAAAAGAATTAAAAAATATTGACCCAAAACTGACAACTAAAGAGACAGCTTTATTTATTTGTCAAATTACATAGAAACCAACGCCAACCCAGCACAATATTTTTTCTACTGGTAATAAATTTCTTGAAATAATAATTTCGGAATATTTTTTAAAACGTAACTCGCTATGGAAAGAAATATTGTTTTATACACGACGATTATATTGCATTATTGTCTCATTTTATCGTTTTGTATAAAAATAACTATTACTTCACTATCTTACTTTACTATGTTATCCTGCGTCTTCACAATTTTCAATCTGCACTTAAAATTATATTATCATAATTCTAAAGATTATGATTGTCATCTTCCTTTTAAAATACTTTTTTTTAAATAAAGTACCTATTAAATAAATCAAATAAAAAATATTATTTACTTTTATTAAAAAGGAAATAATATACAAAACGTTCTTTAAACGTGTTAAAATAATTCAGAGAGAGCAAGCAATATTTCATTATATTCCAGGAAAGATATGCGCTATGGCGAAATTCTAGTGATATTTCAACACTCCTACACTATGGCGGATAAAGCATCTTCTGTACACAAAAGATGAGGAATGAGCTGCCATTTTCATTATGATACCGCTGGTTTAAATTTTCTCTCATTATTTGCATCGAAGAAGATGACAACCTGACGATGAAAAATAGGATCCAGGGGTAAAAACTGCACTAAATTTTATATCGCATAATAAGATGCCAAGAATAAAACCATAAAATATTGCCTGTTAATTTTATTAAAGGCTGTATTACTTAATTATGTCCCAAATGTATTCATTGAAGTTTGTTTTTTAACTGTTACTAACTCATAACAATTTTTTGTGTTTTCTTTTTGTATGTATTTTAGTTTATATTTGTTACAAATGTTCGTTAAAAATTAAATACTCTTTTTTTCAAACGTCACAAAAGTATTAAATAAAAAATTAAAGTATTAATTAAAGTATTATTATTCTTTATGATTGACAATATAAAAAAAGTCATTTTAACGCCTAGGCATAAAAGTACAAGAATATATTACTAAACTGACATAAAGTGTCAAATTCAACGAGCGTAACCATAGTTTCTCGATATATAATTACATACAAGCTATGACTTTTAAATCTTTTTATATTATTTGGAACGTTTGAAATTGTTTAAAATTTTCTTTGTGGCGTTTAAAAAAACAACATGTTCTATTTGGAGTAAAAATGACTTTTTGTGACTCGCCTGTATGTCGTTGTACAGTCAAACGTACAGCCTCGCCACAGAAAGTGTCATTTTTACTCCTAATAAAACTATTATTTATAAAATATCTAACATAAAAAGAAGTATTAAAACAAGATGGTATTCATAATCTATAGAATTATGATAAACCTATTTAAATGTATTTCAAAGTGTGAATTAAACAAGACAGATGATAACATAACATCACCCTCTCAATTTTTTCAGGGTATTAATATACAGGGTGGTCCGAATTGTATTTCGGAAACTTCGGCAACATATTCTGCTTATAAACATACTTAACAAGTAAAAAAGTTCGTATAAATGTATGTCATAAAACGCTGAGTTTCGGAGATACAGGGTATAGAAGTTTCATGTTTATTTCGATTTTTTTCTAAATAATTTAAGAAATAACGTCAATATTTGAATGAAAATTGGTGTCTGGGAGTTTTTTGAATGAGAAATTTGACTTTATGGTGCCCGGTGGCGATGGCGTAGGGGTAGAGGCTCTCGTCTACCAATCTCAAGGTGTGGGTTCGATTCCCACAGCCGGCATTTCATCAGCCGACTATTTTTATTAAAATAAAAATAGTTTGGGTACCTAGGTCGACTCACTTCCCCTAGGAGATGCAAGACCTTGTCGTTGGTGGGGAAGCTCCTGGTCAGGTGCTGGGGGGAATCCCCCCCAGCACTTGGCTTGGTCGAAGCTGAATCGAAGAAGCATGGTCGAAGAAGCATCTCACTCATCGTCTTGTCCCTGACTGTAGTGTCGTGGCCAGGGAATTGCACCAAGACATATAACGATACCGGGCGGGGCTACGGACAGCCTCAACCTTGGGGCACCGGGGGGCACCCCATTGTATTTTACCCCTTACTTCTACATGCGGGGCTCTGTAGAAGTGGACCGACTGTCCCTAGCAACTCATGGGAACACTATGAGATCTGGTAATAATAGTAATAAAAACATCACCGGTGAAGCTGTGGGAAACCCCTAGCAACACTGGGAACACTAACAATGAAAGTTCCAAGGGGCCAAACCCAAAGAGAACTACAGGAGAGGTGGCTGACACTTGCGTGAGACCATCCTCCGCAAGTGGCATACAAGTTACCACCTCCTCCAAGGGTCGGGGAGCCTACCTCCCTACCTCTAAACCCAACAGGCGACACAAGCTACCGTTTCGTCTACCCGGCCTGGGTCGTAGCTCCTCGACTATGAAGGACACGGGTCTCCGTAGGAAGTCCTGGGACTGTATGATGAGTTATAACTCAAGAAAGGGGGACACAATAGATCTCTAAGGTCGCAGAGATTAACCCCCCTCCCACTTATTCTAATTCTAATTCTAGGTCGACTCAGCCTTAAATGAGTACTTGGGATTCACAATCCTGAGGTAATAATAGGCGGTTGAAGCGTAGTGCTAGCCACATTACCTTCCTTGTATACCGAACGGCTCTAGTATGGCAAGCTGTATCTTGCTACTCCCAAGGCGTTAAACGCTATATACGGGAGCTATTATTATTAGAAATTTGATTTTTATGTCATTATGACTCCTATTTGTATAGGCGGCGCCACCTACATGTGTGTTAACTGTTTCTAAAGAGTAATAACTTTTCATCCGTACCTGTATAAAACTACTAAGTAAAAAAATATACATTTACAACTTTTTTTACGTAAAAAAGGTCTCTTGGTAAAAATAGCTATGGGTAATGGTTCTCGAGATATTTAGAATCAAAATTATCAAGACCTATCATCATTGACATAAATTAAACATGTTGACTAACAGTTATTAGACTGAAATCATAAATTTATGATTAATTTAAAAAAATAAAAATTTCCTAAATTTATTAATTCAGTCAAATAACTACGTACTCAACGTGTTTATTTTCTGTGAATAATGACATGTATTGACTATTTCCATTCTATATATCTTGAGAACGGTTGCTCGTAGCGATTTTTACCAAGAGACATTTTTTACGTAAAAAGTCACGGAAATGTATATTTTTTTACTCAGTAGTTTCATACAGATATGGACAAAAAGTTATTATTCTTCAAAACAGTTAAAGCATATGTAGGTGGCGTTCCCTACAAATAGGAGTCATATTGACATCAAAATCAAATTTTTCATGTAAAAAAAACTCACAGATACCAATTTTCATCAAAATAATGACGTTACTTTAAAAATTATTTGGAAAAAATCGAAATAAAAATGAAACTTTTACACCCCGTATCTCCGAAAGCATTTTAAGACATAGATTTATACGAACTTTTTTATTTATTTTTATTTGCAGGATATACTGTCGAAGTTTCCGGAGTGCAGTTCGGACCACCCTGTATAATGGCAAACAGGGCAATTTAAATATAAATGTACTGTAACAACAGAGATAATGCTTCTTCCATACCATTAAATATTGCCATTTTAGCAAACAAAGCTGATTTATAAGATATAGATAGAAACATATTGAATTTTCTATGTTAAAAATTGTTTCTTTGTTAAAAAAAATGAAAAAACAAAAGTTTTACTTACAACATCAATAATATGATGTAAAGACACTCCAAAAACAACTGTCAAAGGCAAAGAAGAGTTTTGGACTGGTCGAACTCCTGCGTCATAGTCTGCCATCAAATGCTTCATTAACCTGGCTTCGTTGTCATCTGCCGAACATATTTTCGAATCTGAAAATAAAAAATCAATTAATTATTATAAATAAGTAATATAAATACATTGAAAAAAAACAAGGTACAAAAAATGCCCAAAAAATAACAATTAACGCGTGTTTGGCTTAATACTTATATTTCTAATTTTTCTCGTTGGACTTTCTAAATACTCAATATAAATGACTAGAAAGTGTTTGGTGTGTGGAAGTTCTAATATAAAGGTCCCCGAATTATCTTTTTATAGGCAAGTAAAGTTATTCAGTTGTTCTTTTATTTATATTAAACCACATGGATACTTTCTTGTTAGATTTTTGTAGCTGAATGTATTTTTTGTATAATTTAATTTTTATGACAGTAAACATTCAATTTATTGTTGCATGCATTTTACAAATTAAATTTTTTAAATTAATGTTCAAATTTGGCGCGTGGACGCTAGGTCTTCGACAAGGATATACAGAGTAAAAGCACCACGTGTGCAACCAAAAAAGAAGAAAAATGCAAGTCGTTGATATGTTTGCGACAGTTTCCATATTGATTTACTTATCCACGTAAGTATACACGGTGAATTTCCTACGATGTTCTCTATGGGTATCTCGAAAACTACTGGAGATAGAGAGTCTCAAAACTCAGTAATTTTTCGAAGAAAACATATTATAGCTTATATCGCTAAAAAGCTTAAAAAATGGCGCTTTTTATGAAGTCATGGCCAACTATGGTTTCCATTTAAAAAAACATATGTTTGTGTCATATGTCAAAAATGACAGGCTTTAGAAAAAAACGGAGGACACAATCTCATTAAGGATGTAATTATCTACAACTTTTATCTGAAAACTTTTTGTCTAAAATAACTTATAATGGAATTTTTTTTCGAAATATCTAGTAAGCCATGAACTTTTTCAAAAATCTGAAAGGCGCATATTTATGACCCCACAAAACTGCAATTCTTTCGCCATTTAACCGACTCTCTATCTCCAATAGTTTTCGAAATACCCATAGAGAACATCGTAGGTAACTCACCCTGTATATGATCTAGGATCGTAGTAGATACTTTGAGCTACAGATGCCCGATGCACCCTGTAGATCAAACTAAATACGAGTATTAGCAATAATCACAACCATGCAGTCCGAAAATTTTGGTAATTTTTTTAACTTTGGTACAAAACAGAACGTTTTAGTAGACCCTCACCTATATCAACAAAAATTCTAAACACGGTCAAAGAATTTCAATTAACACGGATACCTAAAAGTTAATGAAATAAAGTACAAAAGACTGACAATCGATACCTGATGAAGCCAAAAAAGAAACCAATTTTTCGCTGAAACTAATAGATCAGGCTCGACATCGAATGGAGTTTTTATTTTTCGAATTGGTAAGTGGAACATTGATTTATTGTGTATAGTTGCTTTGTTAACAAATACCATCAAGTATAAACGTAATTAAAAATAACTTAGATGTAAGTTCGTGATGTATATTAGATAGATAGGTATATTATACTTACTAAAAGATAAATAAAATTCTTTCGTAAATAGATAATGCCTATTATCAAGTTTTTTTTATTTTATATATGTATACTATACGATATTTTCAAGTGTTATAAAAATATACAAAAGAATACTTCAGTTATAAACAAACTTAGATGTCATATAATAAGGGTCGGCATTTCTGGTCTTGGGTGCCGATTTTCATGTGTACGAAGAGTACGGTCAACACGCCTAGTAAAATAAGATGTACTGAATAAAGACAGAAGGCGAGTCAGATTAAGTAGTTATGTAATATATACTTCGTAGTTCTGCTCACTCCGACTTACTAGATTGCCATAACGACTCACTCCTATACATGTAAACTCCGACCCAAAGGTTCGCTTGCTAGCGGGGTATGTTACTAAAAGAATATTACTAATTCCTCCATAACTTTCGAAGATATGAAACACATTTTATTATTAACATCTTCGTAATTACTGTCGAATCTTCTCTAGATCCTAAAAAAAAATTTATTTTTAAATTTAGTAATAAATGACATAATATTTGATATAAATAAATATGGATAAAGGTTGATCTCACTATACCTTCCGTTTCCATTCCATGTCCATTCCATATCCATTCCGTATTTTTATTGTATTGACGCTATACGCAAGCTTCCGTCCCGTATCAGTTCCATACTTTTTGTTATACAATTTATATCATTACAAAAGTTTTATTTTAAAAATTTGTATCTTTTGAAAAAGGTAATAGATTTAATTAAGAGGTGAAAGAATAAATAAATATCAGCAAAATTTTAACCGAGCTGGTACAAATGTAAGAACTTAACAAAGCTGTTTCCGGTATGCTTCAGTCAATCCGTCAAAAAAATGTATTGAAGGAAAGGATATGGAACGGAAGGGAAACGGAACGGATAGTGTGCATTGTCCTATTCATCACATGATATCATATATTTTATGTAAACGGAAGGGAAACGGAAGGGAGATGGAATGGAAGGTATAGTGAGAATCAACCTTTATACTTTAGAAAATTAATGAGTTGTTATATTTGAATAAAGTTTACTATCTATTTCTACTTACTATTTTAACACAAAAAAATTGGTCATATTTTTGACAGAGGCTTTAAATTATTTTATTTCATTAAATCAGAATGAACAAAATAAGATTTAAAAAAATAAATAAATACTCCAATTCATTTATAAAAATTTAACTTTACTGCTAAAAATTCTAACTAATTTTAGCCAAACAAAACCATTATTTGTAATTATTTGCATTTTTTTCCGTGTACACAAATAATTTAAACTTATGGCTGGTTATTTAGTTAAATTACCTCAAAAGGGCGCTATTTGTTAGATTTTTCACCTAAAAACCACGGTGGTTAACAAAGCAAGGATTTGAAAAATGAACGTAATATTTTTTATAACTGACATTTATGACTATACTGCAATATAGTAACGCAACTGCTACCCAGTTATTTGTTTTTAAGGGATTTGAGAAACGCCATTGCAATTTGCCAAAAATAAACGTTTATACAGGGTGATTCCTGTAAGTCGGTCATGCTTTCGAGGAATGATAGGGGACGTCGAAATATTAATTTTGATAGAGCACACTATGGGTCGGAAATGCCTCTTACGCAAGATACAGGGTGTTAAAGTTTTTGAAAAATTAAAGATATTCTTTAATAGTTTTTTAACAGTTGAAAGTATCGTTATAAAATTTTATTGTAGCAGTCTGCCTAACAGAGACACTCTAAATGTAAAAAGAAGAGGTTTTAGTTTCAACCAGTGGCGTAGCTGTCATACGCATCGGCTAATATTTTCAAAAAAAAATATTACACCACTGATAAAAATAAAAATTTCGGAGTTTTTTTATTTACTCGGTTTATTTCCAAGAAAAAATGTCTCTTTCGCAACTTTCTTCTACCTAACACCATTTTGTCACAATTTAAAAATAAATATTTTTTTAATGAGAACCTTAAATATGCGAATTATTATAACTACCTTAAAACTACGAATTTTATTATTAACAATAAAAAAAATTCTAGTTTAAATTTATAATTTTTTAAAAATTTATTTAGTGCTAATAGTAAAAAGTACTAAAGTTACCTAAGATGAAGAGAGCTAACGATGAACATGTGTTTCTGCCCTCTAGTTATAATAATTCGCTGTATTTAAGATTCTCATTAAAAAATTTATTTAGTTTTAAATTGTGACAAAATGGTGTTAGAAAGGAGAAAGTTGCAAGAGACATTCTTCTTGGAAATAAACCGAGTAAATAAAAAAACTCCGAAATTTTTATTTTTATCAGTGGCGTATATTACAGTACTATTTTTTTTTGAAAAAATTACCCCATGTGTATCACAGCCTACGCCACTGGTTGAAACTAAAACCTCTTCTTTTTACATTTAAAGTGTCTCTGTTAGATAGATTCCTATAATGAAATTTTACAACGATACCTTCAACTATTAAAGAATATCTTTAATTTTTCAAAAACTTTAACGCTCTGTATCTTGCGTAAGAGGCATTTCCGACCCATAGTGTGCTATATCAAAATTAATATTTTGATGTCCCCTATCATTCCTCGAATGCATGACCGACTTACAGGAATCACCCTGTATATGAAAACAATGTAATAATTTTATTCATTCAATATTTTTTGTATTTTACTTGAAGTTTTAAAAAACGAAATTTGATACATTAGTGTATGACATAAATCAAGATTGATTGACGTATTCAATTGTTTTTCGTTGCTTCCTGTTTCACCGGAAATGACTACAACTTTTGATTTTTAAATGACACCCTCGGTATTTTTTTACTTTATTCGATAGAAAATGACACCCTAAATAGAACTTTTGATATTTTCGTATATGGTTTATTTGAAATTGTAACATGCCGTTCATAACGACAATTTAACTCGAAATACCAAGTGTGTGGTACGAAATTATTCATAAAATTTGTTTTTTCTAAATACGCTTACGAGACACCTCCTTTCCATTTGAAAAAATTGAGATATGATTAAAAATACCATTTTGGGCATCTTTTAACCGGCCAGGACTAGACACGGAAAATGTTATATATATAAAACACGAAGATCAAATGTATTTTCCAAGGCTTCTTGATTAAAAATTAGTACTTTTAATACAGCCATGGCGCACCTTAGATTGAAATTTAAAATGCGATTTTTTTTGAGCAAAAATGTTAAAAGTTGACGTATAATATGTCATTCTATTCAGAGTGTCATTTTCTATCGAATAAAGTAAAAAAATACTGAGGGTGTCATTTAAGAAATTAAAGTTGTAGTAATTTCCGGTGAAACAGAAAGTGATAGAAAACAATTGAATACGTCAATCAATCCTAATTCATGTCATATACATACCAAAACTCATTTTTTATCTAAAAAAAATAAAGAAATTACATGGCCAGCCACTTTTGAACAGTTGGAGAAACAATTAAATATGCCTGCATTGAGATTTGGGTTTTCAGGCTAGTGTATACACAAAAATTATTGCAATGTATTTCCTTGTAGTACAAATTATTAGAA